CCTCCCCCTCCCCCCCCCGCCTCCCTCCACAATTTCTGTTTTCAAGGAAATGAAAAACTCCTGTTTTTCATTTGAAACTACTGGGCCTGATAAGAAAGGAAAAGTAGCATGTGATTGCTTTCATTCTGTTTACCTTCTTTAGGTTAAGGAGATTTGAAGTGTGTTCCTAATTTTTGAGTGTTTACTTTTTGTATTTTGATGCCTTATTTTTGGAGGATGCCATTCTGATTTCTAGTGGGGATTACGTGTTTGCATGGTGGAATACTTTCTTTCATAAAGAGGTCACAAGCAAACGCTTTAATGCACCTGCAAGCTGCAGTTGTTGAACAGTACAAGCTGGAATTGATTCTAAGTGTGGTAGATGAAAACGTCGTTAATACAGGTAGAAAGTGTACACTTCCTCAGATAATGGGGTTGAATTCAGTAAGGGTTTTTAAGACCCTCAAAAAGGTCTTGCTTGATTTCTTTTCAGAGCTTTATGCTGTAAAAATTGTTCAGTGTCTCAGTTCAACCACGGTTAAGGACTGTGAATGAGATAATTATTTTGCTTTTCTTTCTTTGTCTAAAGGTTCACCTTACAGAAGTGTTTTCTGTCAGGAAAAAAAGCCTTGTTTCATATACTATGTGTCATTTCTATAATGGTCCTGCAGAATTTCCTTTTTCTCCAGCACTGCTTGGATCTAGATAATATTTTTTGGTCACTTCCGAGGTCATCTACTTAAAAGCTTTGTGCAGCTGTGCTTGTATTGCTTATGCTTGTATAATCAGCAGATGTCCAGGTTCTTTATTCTCCCTTTTTTGTTCATACACATAGATAAGGTTGGTCTCTCAATGTCCTTCATTTCCACCCCTCCCCCTGGCACCTCCAAGTCATAACTCTTATTTCAGCCTTGATCAGACTGCTGTATTCTTTTTCCTCCCTCTAAACAAGAGATTTTTTTTTTCTGGCACAAGTAATGTGCCCAAGGGTAGATCCAGGATTTGGTAAAAAGGGGTACTGAAGCTACATGGGTGGCTGTACCTTTGTTCCCAGGCTCTTCCCCTACCCTACCCTACCCTACCCCTCCCCAACCCACTGGTTCAGGCAGACCATGATATGGGAGCCTTTGGGCACTTTTTAAAGTCCCCAAAGCAGGTGAGCACCCCTACCTTCTCCCTTCATGCTCAGAGACATGTTCCCCCCCCCCCCCCCCCTTCCCCCCCCCTTTTAGAGTTTCTTTTTAGCCCCACTCTTTTTTT